GGAAGTCAGGGGATACTCTTTGTCCAGGAAACTACATCCTGCCTAGACGGACTGCCTAAAAGCCTTATTTTTGGACATTGGCAATTCCTGTTGTTTTCGCCGGTGTCGGAGGTCTACACGCAGGAATCTGCACGCAAGATCAGGCGGTTTACTCGCTACACTATGTGCTTCAAGGTCTAACAGTAGTCATGGCCTTTGTAGAAATCAGTGAATTGTCGATTTTAACACTTCTACTTCCTTGCACTTTTACTAATAATGCTCATGTGACTGCCAGGTGAATGTCTAAACTATGAACAGTCTAACCCAGTTAATTACTTGTCTCGGGTTCAGAGTATATTGCTTCTAGTTTGTCTGCCATTATCACCTGCATGCTGATATCTGCCTTCATTTTTCGTTACGTTAAACTAACAATAACTGTCGCACATAAGCTCTGATAACCGGATGAGTGCATGTGCCTGATGGTGCCTGAGGCTTACTCATCACCGATCCACGTTGAAACAACGCAGTAACCCTCTTGGACAGGGTAAACAAACTGTCGGTAGGGGGGGGGGGGGCGGGGGCGGATACGCAGAGTAGTGTTTGGTGGCTGCATTCAATCCACGGGTCAGATAGACTTATGGAATATGAGGTGGGCATATTTACGCTCGGACTCATATTGCGCATAGGATCCTCCATGGGGTCGGAAAGAAGAGGAAAATACAAAATGCTGCGGTAGAGTAATTACCACTCGAAATACACTTGGGGCTCTATTTTAGATCTAGCAATAGAAGAGGACCAAAATATATGCGGAGACGAAGTGTATATGGCCATAACCCCTCTCCCTCTTCCCGGACACCGAACTAAGTGAGGAGACGACAGTGGGGCCAACAACAAAATGAATGCCTGAATTCAAACTTTAGGCTCCTCAACGATTGAGAGTCCTACAAAGTTGGCGACGACGCCAGTCTAAAGTCACTACTGGCGAAGTTTAACAGAATTCTGGCCCCGCTAAAGAAGAACAAGGTCGGCACTGTCAAAGACTGGTATATGGCGAAGCCCACAGAAGCAGATATGGCGCGATTCTACGGTCTCCCAAAGGTACACAAGCCAAATGTCCCCTCCCCCCCCCTCCGCCGACCAATTGTCTTACTCTGAGGCACACCCATATATGGGCTTGCAAATTAGCTATTTCGGAGACTCAGATTCCTAACCGCAGATTCACAAACGACAGTGCTCTCAGCAGAACACTTTCTCGACGAAATAAACGCGGCCAGGATCGAAGCGAATGAGAGGATGGTGTCATTTGATGTCGTCTCACTCTTCACAGGTCGTTACAATGAACACGCTCAGTGACCTGCTACGCCAAATCTACGACAGAGGCGATGACCAGTCCACAGTTAAGAATGCCATAGAAACCATGGATTACTGCCTCAAGACATTTTTTACCTTCAAAGGGATCACATATGGGCAAATAAAGGGCACTCCGATTGGTTCACTAATCTCCGGGCTCGTTGTCGAGGCGGGTCTGTGAAATTTCGAGAGGCGAGCGATCAAGGAGTACAAATCCGCATTTTGGACGCACTACGCTGACGACACCTTCGTACTCATCGATCAGGATAAAATTAGCCACTACGGGGAGCAACTGAAGTCAGTCATTCCCGACATACAGTTCACGATAGAGGAGTAAGTGGAGGACGTTCTAGGGCGTTCTTGTCTACCGCCAATCGGACGGCAAACTGACGATATCAGTCTAAAGAAAACCGACGAACACACAACTGCAAATGCTCAGCTACAACAGCAACCACCCACTGGAACACCAACGAAGCTGTGTACGCACACTATACCGATGGATGAAAATTCATTGCAGTACGCTAGCCGCCAAACTGGACGAGATGGAGCTTCTCCAGGAACTTTTCAGAGCCAACGGCTACCCGAGAGGAAGCGGGATGAAGAACATAGTCAGCCAACATCGTGGCGCAGCATTTCGTTAATGAAAGGGGCCTCCGCAACCGTGGCTAGATCTCTCGCGCCATTCGGAATGGGAGTTGCCCACAGGCTCGACTCTACAATCCGCCGGCAAGTGATGCTGCCAAAAGACCCGATCTCAAAGTAGGAGATGTCCGCCGTTGTCTAACGACTTCCGTGCAGCTGCGGGATGTGCGACTGCGGGAGGGAAACCAGCCGACGGCCGCAAACGCAAATGCCCTGAGCATAAGTTGGCCGTGCGAAGGTTGGACCAAAGTCGGAGGTAGCAACCCATGCCGCACAAGTGGGTAACATATTCAACTTTGACGCCGTTGAGGTCGTGAGCCATGGCGATGATCATACAGCAAGGGAGGTGCAAGAAGCCTGGATGTCCCCACATACTGCTCTGTCAACAGCCGCATCAATTTGCCTCCCTCCTATCTGAGTTTGTGAACCTACTTGACGGGGGGCAGCCGGGGCCGTCAAATATCTCCGCCCGAGGCCGACGAGGGCGGGGGCGATTCAGGTCACGGTGACATGCGGGTCGAATGCAGCCACACAGGCAGCATTGGCGGGCAGGCATCAAACAAAGTGCGCCATACAAGGAGAGCAGTGCGTATGACTTCCCAGTCTCTGAAGATGGGTAGTCGGAGTAACTACTCGAGACGTCAGACTTCCAATAAACCTCCTCTAGTGAACGCCTCATCCTCTTTTGTGATCGCATAGCGTATGAAGCACAGTGGATTTTCGAGTTAGGCACATAAGAGAAGACCAAATTTAATGAGTTCAAAGAAGGGAGGAGAGATCATGAGGGAGGATGCTGGTGATAGTGGCAACAAGTGTCCGAAAAGGGGGAAAACATCCGGTGTTGACTAGGTTTTGGGGCAGTTCTCACACTAGGGTTGGAATCCAGTGACTGCGTTATGCAGACGGCGTCGCCTTTATTCACGAAAGGATACCCGTAGCTGTTTTCCTAGCCTGTGGACACGATGAATGACACAGAAAAGACAGACAGGCAGAGTTGATCGGAATTTTTGATTTGCGAGCTCGGCAAATTCTGGCGGCTGCGTTTCGGTCACGTCAGGTTCATCAATAATCACGATCCAGGCCCGCCTTGGAGGAGAAGACACCAGTAGAAGTCTTGCAATCTGTAAAAGGATCGGTGAGAGTTAGAGACCCCGACGCGCTGCCGACCCAGGGTCTGCGCACATGTTTGTTCACTCGGGTGGCTTGGACGTGAGTAAATAAGCGTCACGCGAGTGGTCAGTTGATTAGGTGATAGCGGAGTTTGTAGACGCCGGTGATTGTCCGTACTCAGGGATGGATGCGCTCATGTTCTGGGGCTCGGGATCCCTGGTCACATGATTCCTAGCTCGGTGTGGGTGCCGGAGACAGAAATCCTATTCTCGTCCGAGGCGTTACCTAGTCGAAATATGTCTTCTGCTATAGGACCTCAAATAATTCTTAGTCCTACCATCCTGTCTTTCTTTTCGGTCTCTGCATTCTATTCGGTGTCGCACGCAGCCATATAAAATCCTGCTAAATACCACCTACCATGTACTAGATGCAAAACAATTGCGTCTTGCCTCCTTGCATCGCTCACCCTCCATTTCACAACTGCTAATATTGGAAAAATAGTTTCAGATGGATGAAGGGTCCACTACGTAGGGTAAAGCCATGATTGTCTATGTCGCACTTAATAGCGGTCTATTTTATAGGAAGCACATTGCCACAGGAAGCGGTGGCATCTTAAATAACAAGGTCAACAGGCAACAGACGTTTCCATCTTCATACGAGCTAACTTATTACTTTATCCTTCGGCGAAACCTTGCAGTCTGGCATTTTTTGCTTCCAGCCAGTCCGTCTAGGATAAAGCAGCCTTAAGGAGACTAGAATAAGTGTCGAAAGTTCCCTAAATGCCATTCCCAGTTCTATGTGTGTGCCCTACCTAGCCCCGTAAATCTACTTGGAAAGAGACAAGTAAGATGTGAGTCAGCCGTAAGCACGAATGTCTATCAAGATCAGCAAGGACGGAAGTCACAGACCACTACAAAACAGGATTTGTTGGCATTGGAGCTTCACGCGCTATGTACAGTGCTCATGCAGTCCACATGCCCCTTATTGAGGTCTGTAGAGGGGACTCTGCATTCTCTAAAGACGGATGTCTGAAATAGCTAATTTAAACGATGTAACATCAATACGCCCTTTCAAGAGACGCCCTCCATTGCACCGACGAGACAGTCATATCCTCCCTTCTTTCTGAATGCCAATTCGACCGTCATGAGCGACGATGCTCTGCACGTTACCCAAGGAGTTGAGCAGCACCGATGACTTGCCCGTGAATTTGTTTATGGTGAGGCAAACTTGCGCAGCACTTGTCGCACTTTCTCTCCCCTCATTCACTATGCTCTGGTGACATCACAGTGTCAAGACAACCTAAGGTGGACGTGTAGAATGTAGAGTCGTAGACAACAGGAAGGTTCTCATTTCAGAAGCCAGGGAAGACAGATTGCTCTGGACAGCTATACTGACGTGCAAGAGCGCACAATAGGCTCTGCAAGCAGTTGCCACTCGCTGTCTCTCCAGGATGTCTTTTGGTTCTGTGTCCGCTGTTGAGGTTATTAGCCTTCAGCGCGTGGGCGCTTTTCGCTCGGTCCCAGTGTCTGCTAGCCAATCAGAAAAGGGGTAGCACTGATTGGCTTCGTGCACTCGCGAGTCTAGTGGCAAGCCTTGTGCGGTCCCAGCGGTGGTCGCCAACAAGGAGGTAGAACTCGTTGGAGAATTCCTTGAAGTGATCACAAACCAACGCGAAGACCTGAGAAGATGTTGAACGGAGCCGGCCAGCCTGGAGAAGTGCAGTGAAGACTGGAGCAGCCATCTAGGAAGCCAATCGGATCTCCTCTGCCGAAGCTAAAATAGAGTCTCACAAATATCAAGTGCTCCTGACCCTCAACGTCAATCCCCAATCCCTCTCAACATGTCCACGCTCTCAACGAACATTCCGCGCGCTGAAAGGTCTCCTCGGACATCTTCGGACTCAATGAATCAACAGTCCATCAACCCCAACTGCTGCCTACTCGACTGCCCCTCCTTTCAACCCCCACGGCGTCCACTGCGACAACCACCCTCACAATCGATGCTCGACATTCCTGTTCCCCGACGCCGTCGATCACTGCCATCTCCATAATCTCTGTCGCGAACTCCACAGTGACGATGACGACGATAATTACAACTCCTGTGCACGAATCACCCTTTTCTGCCACGTTCTCTGATGATGGGTTCAAGTGAAAATCCAAAACGTCAGGCGAATAAAGCTCTTGTTCCAGAGATCGCTTCTTCTTCTTCTTCTTCTTCTTCTTCTTCTTCTTCTTCTGATCAATTACAAGTCCCATTCCTGCCACCCGTCAAAACGTCCCCTACGGCCCGACAACCACCATCCTCATGATGGCCACCGGTATTTCCAGGGATGTGAACCCGGCCTAATCTGTCCTCTCTGCGATCGCACATTCACCCCACACATCGTCATGGTCGGTCACTTGCCTGGTCAGTCACTGAGACCAGTGTACTAGTGCCAGGAGACCCGCACACACTCACCGCATCCGCCCCCGCTGTTGACGCTGCCCACGCATATTCATACACCTCATGGGTATGTTCGGTAACATGCGTGCCCACAACAGTGGAATTCACCACAGTATTGACACACCTAACAGAATAGCATCAGGACGCCCACCGATCGCGCATGTGGCCTAATAGACCCATGCGGTAAATAAATGTGGGAGGGCAGTGTGGACAGTGGAGGTGGATGCGTGAGTGTAGGTTGGTGCTCCAGTCACTGGTTCGCCAGTCTCTGTACGATGGATTCACAAATTATCGACCAGTCCGATGCGTGGGATGAATGTTCGGGGACATTGTGGGCATGAGAAGACGGCGGTGCCAGTACAAGCTTCTGTAGTGACGATGATGGTGGTGGTGGAGCTGGTGGCGGTGGTCGCGATGGGCGACGGGCTGTGGTCGGGGTTAGGCATGGTTTGTGTGCTGGATGTGCTAGGTGCGTCGGGACTGCGGACAATACCATTCTTGTGGATAAGCATGTGTCCGAATAGACCCATGTGGTGCATAAATGTGCAAATTCAGTGTGGACAGTGGATGTAGATGCGGCGGGTGTAGGTTGGTGCTCCAGGCACTGGTTCGCTAGTCTCTGTGCGACGGATTCGCAAGTGACCGACCAGGCCTACATGTAAGGTGGAAGGGCGATCGCAATGAGGATAGGTATAGACCGGGTCCTCGTCATTGGTGTTTACGGTGGTGATGTTGGTGTTTGTTGTTGTGTCAGGATTGTGTGTAGTGCTGATGGGCGTGGCAGACACCACAGCGGCAGACGTTGAGGCGGTGGAGGAGGGGGGGGGGTGGAGGAAGAGAGTTTGGAGAAGGAAGAGGAGGAAGATGTTGGTGGTGGTTGTGGAGGGCGGTCAGAGTTAGTTGACGGCGTGACAGTCGAGGGAGAGGTGGAAGGAGAGACGATGGTTGGTGCAGTATGGATGTTGCAGTTGGTCTGGAGGTGTTCAACAAGTCCAAGTGGCGCCCGGAATGTCTGTTGGCATCATGGACAAGTTGGGGACGGTTCGGCGTTAGCGTTGTGACGCAGTGGCGGCAGTTGGGAGTTGCGTGTATCACGTTTGGCCTTGGCGGCGGTGATGCGGTTGGCATGGAAGATTGCTGCATTTGTCTGCACTGTTCTCCTCCGCGTAGGTCGGTCCCAGGTGAGGTCTTCCCTGTTTGCCAGGTTGATCTTCAGGCGCTTCAGGGAGGTTTTCAGAGTGTTCTTGTATTGTCGGACTTAACCTTGTCGGCGTGAACCCGTCGCGACATCTCCAGAGAAGAGTCGTTCGGTTAACCACTTGTCGTCCATCCGTTCTAGGTGGCCGCTCCAGCGTATTTGTAGTTGTTTCACCATAGCGTAGATGCTGAGAATTCCCATCCGTTCAGTCCCGCCCGTGTCTGGGATCCGGTTCTGACACAACAGCTTCAGTATTCGACGAAGACAACTGAGGTGGACGTGGTTGAGTCTGCCTGCCAGGTCTCTGCTCCATACAACAATGTCTGTAGGATGACGTCCTTCAGTTTGGTGCTAATGTGGAGACCGTGTCGATTTCAGACAGTGTTTTACAGACGGCCAAATGCTTGGCTGGCCCTGAAAATGCTACGGGATACTTCCTCGTCGACTTCGGCGCTGCGTGAGAGGGTGCTACTCAGATATGTAATGTTGTCCGCAACTTGCACTTGGGTTCCGGTCACGCTGATTTGCGGCGCCTTGTAGCCTGTATTGGGTGGCGGTTGGTGCATGACCACTGTTTTCTCCGTGTCGATGATCAGGTCGAAGTTGTCACAGACGGCGGCGAAGAAATGCATGTTCCTTTGCATGTCTCCTTCAGTAGTTGCATTGAGGGTGCAGTCATCGGTGAGAAGAAGTTCGTGGACGGTTGTGGAGACACGCGACTGGAAGTGCATCCGCTGCTGATTGAGGAGGCCGCCGTCCATCCTGTAGACGACACGGAGCCCGGGACGTTCGTCACGGTAGGCGTCCATCAGTATGACAGAGAACCTGAGGCTGAAGAGGGTAGGCGTGACAGCTGAGCACTGCTTCACTGCGTGGGTCACTGCGAATGCCTCTGAGACAGCTCCATTATCCGTGACTCGTGCCATCATGGCATTGTGGAACTGGCGCACCATCTGAGTGAATGGCTCGGGACGGTCGAATTTCTGCGCGCTTTTCCCGAGTCCTTCGCGACTCACCGTTTCGAAGTCTTTCGTCAGATCGACGAAGGTAGAATAGAGGTGGGTCCACATTTCCTGACATTTCTCCTGCAGCTGGTAGGCGGTGAAGATCATGTCGGTTGTTCCACGATGACAGCGAAGGCGGCACTGCCTTTCCGGTCGGGGACCCAGTTCCACATGCTTCTTCGGGCGGTTGAGGAGGATGCGAGCAATGGTCTTCCCGGCGATGTTCGGTAGGGAAATGTCTCGGTGGTTGTCCCAGAGCTGGCGGTTCCCTTTGCATTTATAGAGGTACACGATTGTGGCATTCTTGGAATACTGCGGCGCTTCTCCTTGACGCCACATTTCCTGGAGAACGCCGTCAGATGATCCATGAGTTGGGGGCCACCCTGCTTGTAGATCTCAGCAGGGATCGTGTCCCATCCATGTGCTTTCCCGCTGGAGAGCTGTTGCATGGTACAAGGCGACGACTAAGGTAGACGACTGCTTTGTTGTCGTTGGTGGGACGGTTGCCATAGGCTTTATGCAGGCGGTTCTTCTCGGCGGACAGGTTGCTGATGGCGGTGTCGATGTCATCGGACCAGTCCTGGTGTTGGCGGCGTGCGCAACCGAGGACAGCCAGGGTCGTCGACTGAACTGTGTTCCGAAGTTGACACCAGCGGTTTTCAACGGAGACGTTCAAGTCGGCGACGACAGCGGCGGCGGCGGCGGCGGCGGCGGTGACTAGAAGGTAGGCTAATCTTTGAGCTAGCTCATTGCTGAAATGGAGATGGTGAGCAGGCAAGCACAAGAGTGCGGGTGAGCAGTGCTCTCCCTAAATAGGGCTGACCAGTTGTCCCAGGCGGCTGGTGAACTTCACTATGGACGACGACTTTTGTTTAATGGGAGAGCCACCCGAATTAGCCTGAGACTCCATACGATATTCCTGTTAGTTTAAAGGGGAGCGGGATGAGAGAAGGGTAGAGAGACGGGATGCAGAGCTTTCACGTCCCTCGCTAAACTAACTGCCTGCTGAAATATAAACGGTGAGAAGGCAAATTCAACAGAACTGCATTTAACGTACAATAAGAACAGAAACAAACAAGCAGAAAAGGAGCAAGCGTGCAATAATAGCAAAAAGCAAAGGCAACACAGGAAATTCAACGGAGCAAAATTTAGCTTTCAACAGCGAAAATACCTACAAGCAGACAGAAAGCAAGTAGACAAAGGCAAGCAAAAGTAAAGACAGCAGGGCAACATTCGCTTACCTGGGGGCTCACTCACCTTGTGGCCTCCTACGGTGTTCCAGATGGAGCCTCATTACGGAGATGCCAATGCCTGGCAGCGGAGTCCACATTACCGTGCGCGCTGATGCACACACGGATAACCTGACCTGGTTCAGCCCGCCGGGCGAGGCAGTTACCGGAGTGTGGCCGCTAGGCAGAGCCTAACTTCGGGAGCCACAGATGAGAATGGAGTGCCACCAAATGGACGCTAGGCGTAGTATACACCTACAAGCAAGCGAGCGACCTACTACGACCGTCACGTGAACCCACCGCTGGACATCCCAACATTCCGGTTATACAATGAGGAACTTGTCGGTATGCAGTTGTCGTAGAGGGCGCTAGGAACAATCGCAAACGTTGCAGGGGTCCAGGAGCACGATTCACAAATTTAATCGCATTCACGTGCTACATTATGGCGTCTCCTGATATTTACTTCTGCTTGCGGAACAGCTCATTGTTAGATGCATGTAATTCGGGGAAATGTAATCATATATTTATTTTATTGGACAACATTTTAGAGGACGATATCTGGGTAAACAAGATTTTATAAGAAGTTGCGTGCATAGGCAGGCTTTAATTCGCTGCAGTTTTAACAATATCAGTACATGCGACTGACATATTATCGCAAGTAAAAACTAACCCAAAGAATTATTCACGAAATGATCCATACTGCGGACTGCTAGATGCGCCTATACAGAAATTGTTAAGGCCAATAAAAATGTGCTTGGGAAACGTCGAACCTGTCATAGTCTGCGCGACTTTGCCAATTCTCTACACCTGCCAGAACATGCCTCCTCACTTTCCAAGTCACATTGCCTATTGGATATCAAGATCTATAGCGCAGATTTCGTTGGCCGTACTGTGTCTGTCAGCTACCCCAGTAAGTGTGACGAGCAGCAGATAAATATTTATGAACAGTTCATGAGCAACATATTGGCTGACAAATAGACTGGTCGGAGACTGGGAGGCGTTTATGAAGTCTAAAATCCCACATTCTCACCCACTAGTTTCCTGGAGTTTAGTGTTAGTACACCAATATTTCATGGAATTCGCAGTCCCCAATATTTGATCCACTAGTTCGACTTGGAGGGTTTGTGCAGCTGGTCTGCCTCAGGGTTCCCTACGTGTTGGACGTAAGGAAAACGTATCAAATCGAAGTGGCATGTCCTTCTGATGTTCCTTAAAGAAGCCAGGCATTATAGGGAGAGAGCTTTCGTGAAAGCCTTAGACTTATGACCGATCATGCCTACAAAATGCTTGTTTTAAAAAGTGGCATTGAGGGGCAGGCAGGTGCAGTAGTGAATAAACTTTGACAGGACAGTAGACAGTTAACGGTTTTTCAAATGGTTCTACTCAGCGCCAAGCAGAAGAGGAAGTTCTAATCAAATATTCTTTCAAAAACCCCGGTGGCCATTGCATGGCAGAGCAAAAAGCAATCTTTCTTGTGATAGACAATTCTCCAAAACGGCGTGCCGAAATCGACTAAGAACGGTAAATTTAAATAATTTCACGCAGTCTAACAACAACGCCATGCAACAAAGCTGGTAATGGGTTAAAAAAGCCAGTCTTACACAGACGGACTGAACTACCTCAATTTATTCCCTCTGTGTTACAGGCAGCGCAGGATGATCTTATTCTGTTTTACAAGATAAACCATGACTTTGGACATGGACCGAGTTTTGAGAACATGTTTTAGTGACACCTCACGCCCAATCTTCGTGGCCACTAGATGAGGCTGCGCACAAAAATGTCCCGGCTGAACCTCCGCTCTGACTATTTTTACACAATGGGTAGTGGAGAAATGGAATGATCTTTCACAATCAGTCGTGGAGGCGGGATACCTGAAGCTCTACAAGAGAAGCCTGGGTAATTACTTGTGCCCCCTGTTTTCCCTCGACGGTTTGAACCTGAGCTGAATACCCTACGAACCCCAGAAAGTTAATCTTTTAAATCATGAAATTACTATTTTAATAGCGACAAAAGTCATTATTCCTGTGCAGTTGTGTATAACGTACTGGTATATAATCAATAGGGTTTTCAAAGGCCTTACCTATCATCATTGCCAAATAAACTGAAAACATCCCCTCCTCCTTATTTCCCTCTCGGTTAAATGTCATATGCTCGTGCAAACTTTGGAAAATAACAGAAGGCAGGCTAGTTTGATACGGAAAAATTTATGTGAGTTGATCAGAAAGACAAGAAATGGAAAGACAAAAAAGAAAGCAGTTGTCCTTCGTCCCAAACACACACACACACTGTGACAACTGTCTTCCCAGACACGAAGACATCTAAGGGCACCCCGCGCCATCTGTCCATCCGCTTAGGAAAGCAGTCTGTGCATAGGAAATTAGTGTCGACGAGGTCCATCTACGGTGACTAGGCAGTGATTCGTCCTTAGTAAATTCTGTGCAAGCCGTCCATCAGCAATTTTTTACTAATCGGTATCTCGGAGACGATCGATGGCTCGGATGAAGAAAGAGGTTGGGGCGGTGGAGAGAACTGCTCAGATGGAGGTGGAGGTGGCCGACCATCATTCGTCAGATCACCTATCGGTCCGCCAAGTACCACACACACAAACACTAGCATCAGAGCAGAGACGGTATATCTGGAGAGGTGCATCTTTGGTATGATTGTCTCTTCACCCGCACAACTTCACTATTTATAGCCGATGTCGTTTGAGGGCAAACCAGTGCGTTTGTTCAGGAAACAAAGCAGTCACATTATTGCCTACTGACCTCAACCGTTGCTGTCGCCGCGGAACGCGTAAAATAGTTAACTTCGAAATTTTCATTGTCTCCTTCAAGTACTTTTGAATGCAATTTGAGAAGATTGGGAACAAATAATTGTCATCACAAGAGACAAAAGAATTTATGAATTGTTAGGATTGGAACCAAAGTCTGCCGGGACACAGTTAAACGGTCATTCACCACCCGCCCGGATTTTGTGTCGGTAATAAATCGTAAAACTGTTCCATAGACCGAATGATTCAACGGTAATTTTAGATTTTCATAGAGAGTCTGTGCAATATGTTGTTCGCATGGATTATTCACGATGACTTATTCGAGGCTAACTAGTAACGGATACCTCTGCATTCAGCTACCTTTTTGGGGCTTTGACAACCTGCTTACGAGCGAGTATGGTCACAATATTATGCTGTTGCCCTCACATACGCCTAAAGCACCTCTTTGGTAAATTGTTTCCTAAATTCCCTTGAAGGCGCACACTAACTTATAATCCCTCATCACGCCTGCAAATGTGCAAGCAAATGCGTTTCGCATCAGATTTCGGTTACACGTATTGGTGGTGTCCACTGATACAGTAACACCTAACACATCTATTTCACCATCAGTCTTATGCTTTTCGGATACTGACATTGCATGCAATTATCTGCTTTTAATCGCTCTTCATACTGACTTTTTCACGTACAATATGCAGGGGTTTCTCTCATTAAATTCAAATGCGTTGATTTTATTTGACCTGATTTGATGCGATGCAGGGGGGATTCTGCTTCTCAGTGTGATGTGTTTCTCAAAAAAGGAAAAACTGAAGAAAGTACAATCATTGACCGATGTCAAGAAATGGTCACCGAAATTTGTTTTTTAATTATGGCGGTTTAAACAGATGTTTGTAATATCGATTACCATGGGCCGTATTTCTGTAATATTTCGGTCTCGCCAGGATGTTGGCTTTTGAGTGCATTTCTTTTCCAAATTCTGCAAAAACCTTTCTTGGTAAAATTAAATGCCTTATTAGTATGCATTTTTCAAATCAATGTTTGATGGTCTTCTATATTGGAATATATTTTATAGAAGACAGGCGCACAAATATGCTTTCTTTTGCCCATTTGGTAGCAAATCACGTTCTCCTTATATTTTATACTCCAAAAAGGGGTATACTTAGGTTTTGAGCAAGTTTTCCTTTTCTCGAATTATTTTGGGTAAGGCCAGTCTTTGCATTAACGTTTAGCCATTTCAGTCCACAGGGCGTACACTTTGCGCATGCAAGTCATATATTTCCCTATGTCTTTAAGAAGACACTATGTCAATTTCATAATTTTTTAATGTATGCCGTCTATGTTTTATAATTTATGGGGAATAATGATGAAGCACATGTAGGATGTTATATGAATATGCATTGCACGGTCTTCAAAAATCGCATAATCCTAAAGTTTCGTTATGGGCGAACGACATTCATTCTTCGGGTAAAAAGTGGGAAGATTACGTCACTTTTGTGCATGTTTGCTATAAAATACAATTGGAATTAATTGAACTTAACATGCCATCGAAAATAAATATGAAAAATGTGTTCTGTTTAATCTGTCTTTTATTTACAAATGCGGCTTTCGCAAATAGGCGGAAAAGAAGTAAATGCAAAAGCTAACATACTGGAGAGCCCGAAATACTATAGGAATATGTCACATGAAAATCAGTATTACAACCGCACTTAAGTAATCCTTCCTACTCGCAAACACATTTCGGTATTTCGGCCAGCATTTTATGGGGACGATCACTCCATGCAGATGCTACATGCTCCTTTGAGTCTGGCATCCAAAGGCAGAGCAGCAAGACGCTGGAGTCGTCTTTGGTATCAAGAACGACATCGTGAGACGGAGGTCGTGCTTACTGCAGGCAGTCAATGATGACCTCACGATCTTGCTCCTGTCAACTCGAGAGGACAAAATTCGCCATGGCAGTCAGTACCTACCTCCCTCGGTGACAAATCCGAGTGACGTGAACCACCAACTCTGCAAAAGACCCACACGACACCCTAGGGACTGTGCCGATGACGAGCAAATTGACTGGTATTGGTGGATAAAGTGTTCCGTCGACATAGAGCACGCGAGCTGAGGGAGTTTTGGCGCCACGAAATCATCGACTGCAGCAGTAGTAAACGCCTCCTGTAGGCCTGCACAGAAAACAATAACCAGTGCCTTCCTTCGCCTTCCGATGCGCGAGGAAACAACTGGAGTGTACCTCCGCGTGCGTCATTGACAATTGCGGGGCTACTTCCTCGTCAGGCTGCGTGACCATGAAGACGGCCTATTGCAGGATGCGATGCGTGGAGTAGACTGCTGGACGAACTACCACCTTGTTGTCTTGAAGATGAGGATTTACCGTCAATTCTCAAGCATCCGCAAAAGTAAGCAAACGCCAAGTTCGGTTTTAAAATATTCGAAATGGCTGAATTCTCACTGGATTGTAGCTAGCGCATGAATGTAAAACTGAAACGAATGCAAGTCTAGGAAGTGAATGATATTACTGGAACCCAACGGAGGAAACCGTGCGAGGTAATCCACGCCAGTACTGTGCAAACGCCCGGAAAACGCCGACAGCACCGAGGGTGGTTTGACAACAGCGGTGCAGGAGTTCGACAGACTTCGAAAATGTCCTTTGAAACGGAGAGATAATTCAAGGAGGAGTTCAGATCTACTTGCTATGAAACATAACCTCAACTACTTTGCAGGGTATAATTCAACCCATTGGTCTTAAACACACCGGTACAAATGCGTGTAATCTTTCTGGTTGCTTTGACTCGTCGTGTAGACTTAATTGTATTTCTCACGGAGAACTAAGCGGCTTCAGTTTTGCTACGGCTCATTCAGAGTCCAACCGGTATCTTGGTTTTCGTGATTTTACACAGTCCACTAACTCTATGTTTTCTTTACAAATACTGCCAAGGTTTAAATTCACTCTTAGTAATTCCCAACTGCATTCTTTGTGATTCTTCTAAGAAGAAGCCACGAATTCGTTTATGTTCTACGAACTTAACTCTGCGGATTTTTGAAATATCGCTGTGGCGCTGAATCACTTTGTAGACTTTAACATTAAAAAAATCATGAAATCCCAAGCTGTTAGGCTAAACCAATATTCACATTAACGTCCCAAATATTTCCAGGTTTACAAGTTTTCACTAAACCGAGATACGTCTTTCTGCCAAGGACAAGCTCCAGAAAAGCCGTAATTTCCTGCAAAATGATTTAAAAGTGGTTTTGTCCTGTGTATATTTTATGAGCTATAACTACTTTTCCATGAACGCCAAAAACCAGCAGATGAAGTAAATGTTGTGATTATGGTTTACAATAACGTCTGCAACGATTCCTTCACAAAAGCCAATATCGCACCGCATACGTTTTGGATAAGAACTACATTACATTGAGGTTAGCCTGAGAAGCTAATCAAAGTGCTTTTCTCTGTTCG